TTTTCGAAATTAAGGATAAATTACTATTTTACTTTAAATTAAAGTATATAAGCGAGGTAAAGATATTTTTAAGTTTTAATATTGTAAAAAATAAGGAAGAGAAAATTGTATTTATTTTTTAAATTAAATATATTAAAACCCTACTAAAGAAATTTGGTTATGAGGATCTATATAGTATAAATACGCTATAACCTTCTAATTTAAAAGTTGGGGTTTATAAAATAGGGGATACGCTATTTAAGTAATAGAAGAAGTATATTAAGAAGATGGGGAGTTTAAATTACTTATTTATAAATATAAGATTAAATATTACCTTTACGGTTAATAAATTTTATAAAGTAAATATTAATCCGACAACTAGTTCCTTAGCGGTTATAAAGTATTTATTTCGTTATTTAATAAAAATTATAGATATTAGTATTATTTTAAGAAGTAAAATCTCCCCAGGAAATATAGATTTAAAAGTATTCGGAGACGCCTTATTTACCGATAATTTAATAATTCGCTATAATATTAGTAGGTACGTTATATTTTTAGTTAGAGGACTAGTTTTCTAGAAATCTAAGAAATAGGCTTTTGTAATAATAAGTATAATAGAAGCGGAATTTACTAATTTCTTCCTAATAATAAAATTTTTATAATAGATCGCGCATATAATAAAGGAGTTTAGTTATATTTAATTACCCCTAAAAATTCTATATACGGATAGTAAGAATAATAGGGATAGGGTTCTAAATTGAAAGATCCTTAGAAGAAATAGGTATATAGATATATAATTTAAATAGATTATTGAAAGTGTTGAAGTAACGGAATTCGATATTATATATATTAAAGGAGAGGAGATAATTGTGGATGGCCTAACGAAGCTTTTAAAGGCGGATAAGTATACTAAATTTATTATAATACTAGGATTAGAAGAAAAGAGGATTCTTTAGGGATGACGGACTTTAATATTATAATTCTGGTGATTATTTATTTATAATACTTTATAAGACTTATATTGGGCTACGAGGGCGTATTGTCGGGTAGGTCTATCCTACCCCTATTATGGGGCTAGCCCTTATACCCTTCTTCTATATTTTAGCCCTCTACATTTCTTTTCCTTCTTAGTTCTAGTTTTCTCTCTATAGCATTATCACAATCACATTTTTCCCCTTAAGTCCAAGAGTGTTGCTTATTTTTGGGCTACCCCGCTAGTGTCCCGTTCCTTCCTTCATTTGTCCAGTCATGACCCCACCACACAACTCCGGTCGAGCCAAATATTCGTAGCAGGAATAAGCGAGTTGGCCAACCGCTTTTACCGGCTGGCAATGCTGGCAGACGGGAGCTGGCAATGTGCGGTGAAGAAGATATCCTGCGTATCTAATTTCGTGGTCCACATCCATTTACTTCCATTCACTCTTGGGCGTTTTGCATTTGTGCACCTACCACCCCACGCAGGAAGCTCACTCAATCTATCATACTGCCTCAAAAGTCCTTGTTTCCATTGAATGTTCATCTACCTGGATGAGAACTGCAGTCTCATACTGACCAATCTGCCACGATGTACATTCTCATGCTTTTCTTGTGACCCCATCCCATTTTGAAGAAAGCTTCCTCGCTCGGAGAGAGCTATCGAGCGATAAGCCACAATGTCGGCAGCATTCGGGTCTTTTTTTTTTTTTTTTTTTTTAAAAAAAATTTTTTTTTTTTTTTTTTTATTGACGAGTGGTGAAGGGTTCGTACATCCTGCCCGACGGTCCTGCTTGTCCGTTTGGCCATAGCTGAAGGAATTGTTGACATGTACCCAGCCAGGCTTATGAAATGGATAGCACTGGATTAAAAGACCCTACTGATGACTTGTTGTTCGTGATGCAGTACCAGTCAGCAAAAGTCTTTGTCGGTCTCGATTATAACCCAGCTATTGAAGCTTGGCATGTTCCTTGCCGTTTCGGGATGGCCACCATCCGCTGATGACGACCTCAGGCCTCCTAGTCCTCCCAAACGTGAAATCCATGGATGTCGTTGAAAGTCTTCTCGAGATTGATGCGGCTGACTCTGACGGAAGTGATCACCAATCGGGGCTGGTCCTTGGATGTGGCGAGGAGTTGTCAGTCGAGGACACCACTTCGTTGCGAGTGGAGAGGCTTCTCGCGAATCACATCGCCTAAAGCCATCTATGCATGGCATCCTTTTCCATGCTTCCCAATGCTTTCCTGATTCCGACCCGATCGCGCCCACTATTTTTCGCCCACAACAAGTCCTGCGTCGCGCGGGGTTCGAACGCTTTGACGTCACCCTCGGTTTCAGGGAATCCTGTATCTCTCTGGGCGTCATGATCTGATGATGCCTAGTGCCCAGTGTGAAGGTAGTCTTGTGATTATGTTCCAAATCTCGACCTATATCAGACCCAAGTTTCCGGGTGTCTGGTCTAGAAGACTTTTGTTTCTCGATAGATCGGATCGTCGCATTTGAAAGTCAAAATAATCTCCGAGACACACTATATCGCAATAGGTAGCCGCCCGATCCGCTACCCACTCGAAACTACTGCACGATGCCGACGGCAACAACGGTCAAGACGCAGCCCACTGCGGTCTGTAAGTCGAGGCTCCACTTTCCCCTTTCGGTGCACAGACTGACCCAGGGACCGAACCACCCCACAGCTTCCACCCCCAAAGTCAAGGAGGTCACAACAGCGAAGACAACAACGACAGATGCACCCAAGGAAGTCAAAGAAGTGAAGCATCGCAGTTCATCGTCGAAGTCCAAATCAACAACGCCACTCGCCGAAACAACTGACAACGTTGTCAAGAAGCCGAAATTGAAGCCCATCGACGAAAACAAGATCTCGACAACCGACCATGCCGTCAAGAAGGAGCCCACTACTACTTCTACCGCGCCTCCGACCGAAAAGACGGCACATGCTGTGCACAGCAGCAGCACCCATCATCGCAAGGTAGTCCCCTCGTCCGGCACCAAGAAATCTTCATCCGGCCATACCCATACGCACACCTCGAGCGGCCATACCCATGCGCCCACGGCGACGACCAAAACATCGAGCCACAGACGGCATACCTCAACACAACCTGACGATAGTAGCAAGCACGAGAGCACCAGCTCGCACCGCCGCGGTCGCCGTCACCACGCCCACCACCATCACAACCCCGACGGTAGTTTAACTCGCCACGGCGCCCGCGTCGCCGCCGCCAGCTCCTCAATCGCCAAGCCTCTCGCGCCCGCCAAATCCTCCTCGCCCGCTCTCGATGCCGACGGCAACTCCAAGCCCAACATCCGGCCCGCGACCATGACAGCGCACATCAAGCGTGCCGTGCGCAAGTCCGAGGCCATGAACCCTTCCAAGCCCGTCAAGGTCGAGCCCGAGGCTGCTTTGCCCAAGGTCCACGTCCCAACTCCGCAGACGGCGCGCCAGAAGGCTGCCACTGATGCTGAGGCGACTAAGCGGGCTAAGAAGGTTGCTGCTGCGCAGGAGCAGCAGCAGCAGGTTGAGTTGGATCAACAACAACAGACCCAAGCGCCGAAGAAGAAGGAGAAGAAGTACGCGCCTGAAGCCATGATTCCTACTTCGAGGTTTGTTGGGAACGTTGGCAAGACTGTCGGTGGTGCGCTCGATACTACCGGCCAGGTGGCCAAGGGGGTCACCGATACTGTTGGACGCACGGCTGAGGGCGCCCTTGGTGGTGGTATCGGTAACACGGTTGGTGCGGCGGCTGGTGGTGTTGGTGATACGTTGGGTGCGGCGACGGGAGGATTGGGAAGGACGGTCGAGGGAGCGACGGATGGGTTGGCGAGAGGTGGCCCGTTGGGCGCGGTTGGCGGGGTTACGAAAGGACTGGGTAACACCGTGGGAGGTATTGGAAAAGGACTGGTAAGCTTGATTTTCCCTTTGTTATTTCGTCATTGCTGTTTTTGCTCCTGGCTCCTGTTTGGTGGTTATGGCCTTGTTGGGGTCCCTTTGTTTCCACGATTCGCCTTCCGTCTACCCCATCTTTCATTCACTTCCCCTTCCTTCATCGCAGCTTCATGTTTCTATCTTCAACGCTCCATCTGATCATGTGTTCGGATAACAGGGGCAAAAAGAGTCGAGGATCTGGCAATGGTTGAGCCAGACTCAGGACGGTCTGACGGCCAAATAACCGATCGCTTGCTGACTTGCCAATCCTTCTTGCGCTACAAACAGGGCGATACCGTTGGTGGAACAGTCGGCGGCCTCGGCGACGCAGTTGGTGGACCACTCGGAGGAGTGGTCGGAGGACTCGGCCGCGGTGTCGGTGGTGCCGTTAGCGGTATCACTGGCGGATTAGGTGACGGAGTCGGAAAGATTGGACAGGGCGACCTGCTTGGAGGAGTTGGTGATGTCGTTGGTGGTGTTACCAGTGGTGTTGGAGGGTTGTTGGGCGGCGTTCTTGGCGGCTTGGGTGGTGGAGGTGAGGGAGGAGGATTATTGGGCGGTGGAGGTGGGGGAGGAGGATTGTTGGGCGGTGGAGGTGGTCAGCGGCGTTAAGGCTTGGGAGTTGATTGATGTTTGCATGAAGGGATAGTCATGTTGGCGACAGCTCGAGGATTCCTCAAGGTAAGTTCCGAGCCTAGATGATGAGTTTATGCGTGTCAATTTGAAAGAGGAAGCAATGTTGCACATGTATGATAGGGAGATCTGGTACGGCACCAGCTAGCGAGTAACACGGAATCACTCATGCTTTCTGATGATTTGACGGAACATGTTCCTGCATATAAGACTTCAAGAAAGGATATCAAGTAATTCGACACGACGATTTCCAAAGGTGTTGTGATTGCATAACATGTTGATTGGAAAACCGTGACCGCTCATGGTCCTAATGTGCTGTAGAACAGTAGCAACAGCAAGAAACCTTCATCACGAAAACGTCACTGATAAAAAAAAAAAAACCCCACACGGGTGCGAGGAAAAAAAAAAGAGCAACGCGGTATCCGGTCCAGTTAGGAAAATTTGACCATTGAGAAAGATGGAAAAATGGAAAAAGATAAGGTCGTGCCCGGGTTCGAACCGGGGTTACCGGAAGTATTTGAAGAGCTTCAAAATCCAGAGTGATAACCACTACACTACACAACCCTGCAACTTTCGTTGAGGCAAAAGTTTGGAACATCGCCTCATAAGACCCAACTTGCAGCCTGCACCCCACGACGACCTGGCAGCTTTTCCCTGTACGGCTAACCGGATGTTTTCCAGGATCGCATTGCCATTTTTGAAGAAAGGGCTCATTTTAAATTCAATTTTCAAAACTTCACTTGAAAGGGAATGCTGCGCTGGTGTAACTCTTCGACTTTGTAGCTTCGCTCTTGGAGAATGACAAACCTGGCGCGTGCACCCAAGCACTAAAGCCTTAGGGTTGTGACAAATATGTCTACTCGTTCTGTGAGATCACGAGCGATGGAGAACGTGATCGATGTAATAATGGATAATGCTATCTAGAATAGTCTCATTCACTCAGCCACCTCCGCTCGGACCATCGCAGTCTTGGAATTCCTTACGGGACTAAATGAACCCCACCCCTACCAATTACAATGTCACACTATTTGGACCCGCAGGTTCCAAGCCACGCGCTACATGCTCTGCTGTGGCGGCCGAAAAGCGGGGCGGATCCGCAGGGGAAAAAATGAGGGCTGACAATTTGGAGAGCGTCGTTGTTATGAGAGACTAATCTAGAAGAGAGGAAGCGGAAAGGTCTGGAGGGCTAGAAACGGTGGGCTAAAAACCCAGGGCACGAGTGGGGCAGTACCCTATGCCCGGGACCCACCAATATACCCCTATAAACCGGAAGACCGCTAAAGAGTTCTCCCTCTATTTACTATACTATTTACATAGTGATAATTTTCTAGTATTTTATTTAACTACTCAGTTGAGTCGTTTAATTATTTTCTATTAATCGCGCTAGAAAAGTCGATCGTAGGTATAGATTACAACTACTAGATCCCAGAATCTTTGTGGCAAACGTAGGAAGTTTTGTCGCGTAATTGAACGATCTTATTATCGATGCGCGATCTTTTCCTATTACTCGAATGCTAGAGAATCGTAGGGCTTACTATAATTGCTGATACTGTTGATCGTAGTGATTATAATAGTTGAAAGGTACAGCAACTATTTCCCAAAATCTTTATAGGGCGGCGGTTGCGAGGAGTTATCGCGAATTTTCAATCGTTACAATTATTTTACTAACCCGGTACGCTTAGATACCAAAAGGTAATAGGGTTTACTATAGTTGATAATTGCCGCTAATTGTATTAATCGTAATAGGTAAGAGGTATAGTAGCTATTTCCTAAGATCTTTATAAGGCAAACGTAGGAAGCTTATTACGCGTTTCTTCGACAATCTTTTATCGATGCGCGATCGTTTTTACTACCTATTTTTCGAATACTAAAAGGTAATAAGGCTTACTATAGTCGCTTGATTATTGTTTGTTGATCGCGTTGAAGAAGGCGACCGAGGGTATAGATTATAGCCGTTGGATCCTAGAATCTTTGTAGCAGACGTAGGAAGTTTTGTCGCGTAGTCGAACGATTTTATTATCGATGTGCGATCTTTTCCTATTATTCGAATGCTAATAGATTTGTAGAGCTTGCTGTATTAATGAATGTTGCTGCGATTACTATATTGTCGCGATTATAGGGAAGGTTGAAGAGGGAGATCTAAAAGATTTGGGATTGAAAAGTAACCGTTTTGGTAAAAAGGTAGATCTTTATATAAAATCGTTATTATTGTTGAAGTAATAGCGATTAGAAGTCGATAATGGCGATGGCGCCTTTTTTTTTTGAAAGGATTGTCGTTGCCCTCTTGTACCCCTATAGATGATAAGGAAGGCGTAAGAGGCTAGAGTACTTCTGAAAGGTATGCGCGCGATGCGCGAGGGCTCATAACCTGTAAAATCACGAGCGATGGAGAACGTGATCGATGTGATGATGGATGATGCTATCTAGAAGAGAGGAAGCGGAAAGGTCTGGAGGGCTAGAAACGGTGGGCTAAAAACCCAGGGCACGAGTGGGGCAGTGCCCTGTGCCCGGGACCCACCAACACGTTCCCCCGCAAACAACCAGAGGCACCCCCGCCAAACTTATTACGACCTCCAACCCTTTCGGCATCACCCAAGATCACTGTAAGCGACTGTATCGCGCCCAAAAGCAAACGCAACGAAGAAGCGATCTTTGTGGAGATCGACACCAACTACGATCGATATCCGACCGCGTGGAAAATGGCTTTGATCACATTGACAAAGCCAATCGCAACTGCAAATGCAAGCCAGCGAGAGACATCATGACGCATTACATTTGCTTGCTCAGCGCAGCTTGTTTTCCACCCTCCCGTCATGATATTTGTTTATATCAACATTGATGGACTAACTCGCAATGACTTGAACTTTTCTCTGCCGTGCGCGCGCAGCTTTCTAGCGCCAGTTCCAAGTTGATACCTAACATTTTTCGACACATTTGATGCCACTTTGGAATTCCTCAGAACGACAGCCATTGCTTCCAACCAATATGGCGGGGGAAGATAGGAAGAAGAGGGTGCTTATCGTGGGCGCGGGTGCTGCCGGTAGATACTCCTTGATACCGCAGCAATTCTCGGCTCTAGACACTGACATGGATTGAACAGGCATGTCATGCGCTCACCATCTTTCAAACCACCGCGAGAAGTTCGACGTAACCGTCATCGAAGCCGCCAACTACTGCGGCGGCCAAGCCTTCTCCATCCCTATTGACAAGAAGAAGCACGGAACGTCATGGCTAAACCAAGGCGTTCAGGGCGGCTCCTATATCTTCCACCATACGATGACCATGTTCGCCCGTCAAGGCTATGCCGCCAACCCCGTCAAGCTTCAAGTCTCTTTCGGCAAGGACCATCGATTCTGGACCAACGTCTATCCGACCAAGCTCCTGGAACGGCACCAAAGCGAGGTCAAGCGCTTCTACTGGATGCTCTTCTTCGTTCGATGGTTCGAGCTGATATTCGCGTTGCTCCCCATCAAATACCTGATGAAGCTCTTCTGGTTCAGCTACGAGTTCGCCAACACCGTTGCCCTGCCCATGGTTGCGCTGTTCCTGGGCACAGGGAACTACACACCTGACGTGCCCACCATCATTCTTGAGCGACTTTGTACTAGCCCGACATATGGAATGTGGTATCCGGCGGATAAGGAGAGTATCGCCAGCAACATGCCGCCAATGATCGTCTTTCCAAACCTTAGCAATTTCTACGAGGATTGGCGCAAAGATCTTGTGAAGAGAGGGGTCGACATTCGGCTGTCCACCGAGGTAACCCAGATACTCAGTCGCGACAAGGATGGAGTGGTGGTCAAGACTATCAAGCGATCTCCAATGCCGGACAACCATAACCCAACAAGCGCGTGGGCAGCTGAGGATCCAGTCATGAACGCTGATGCCAACACCGAAGAGACAACCGAACACTATGACGAGATTGTCATCTGTTGCCTGTAAGTCCTGTTCTTACCTTTCCCGTTCCCGACAACGTCTAATACGATCCCTCCCAGTGCCGACACAGCCAAACGGCTCCTCGGCCGAACCGCCTCCCTCCGCGAACGCCATGTCCTAGGCTCCGCCAAGTTCTCCGACGACATCACCATCACCCACACGGACTCCTCCTACATGCGCAAGCACTACGAGAACTTCTTCAACGCCTCACAAGCCGTCACCTCCCTCTCGGGCGTCGACCATTCCTCGCGCGTCGAGTTCGCCCGCACCAACTTCCGCCCCATGTACTACATCAAGCCGTACGACGCCGACCTGACCAAGCTCGAGATGTGCTTCGACTGCACCAACTACCAGGCTCAGTTCCCGCCCGAGGTCGACTTCGACAACCACGTGTTCCAGACCATATACCTCAACAAGCAGCGCGACGGGCACCGCTGGACGGATAACGAGATCGACGAGACAAAGATTATTCGCAAGGACTGGTGGCATCAGCTGTGTCACTCGTGGACGCATTACGTGTTTGTGGTACCTTGGATGTGGCTGCTGCAGGGCAGGAGACACACGCGGTTTGCGAGTTCGTGGACGATGATTAATGCGCATGAAGTGGCGGTCATGAGCGGGATCGCGGCCGCGGTGGATCTGGGGGGGCAGTACCCTGAGGATTTGGAAAGGGACCGGTTTGCCCTGTTGAGCTTTAGGTTGTATTACTTGCTGGTGTATGGACGGTGGTATAGGAGGAGGGTGAAGAAGGAGGATAGGATGGGGGAAGGACATGAGTGGGCGACAGGGATTTATGGGAGCGTTTACAAGGGGCCGGGTGTGTTGGAGACGGAGAGAGAGATGTGGAGGGAGGACAGGGCGCGGGAGATGAATGGTGGTGCGAACGGTCTTGCGAATGGTCATGGTGGGAAGTGATCTTTGGGGCTGCGAGCGGGTGGTGATGTGGGCACGCGCCCATCGCCAACATATTCCGGCTGGCGAACGGCAATTCTTTGCTCAACCACCTTGTTGTCAAGTTGTTGTCAGGGAAAAACGCACTTATCTTGATCTGCTCTACATCATTATCATCAAGTTAAGGTCGGGGTGACGTTTGGCCGGCCCGAGGAAGGCAGACTCCCCAATGTGAGAAACGGGAGAAGATATATTGAACGGATCAGGCCTGTTACCCCCAGCCCAGGTCGACTCTTCGTGTTCCACCGACCATGACGAAAAACGGCAAGTACGGATTGACGTGGGAGTTCGCCCGCATGCGAAAGACGGGCAAGTACGGTGGACTATTGTCTCCACTCTACCGTAGGTAGGTTGTACCCCACCACAGTTTTCATCTTTAGGGCACTGGACTGCCCGTGTCCTCTCCCTCTTCCTCCTCCTCCACCAAATCAGTCAATCCACCAAAATCACCACCTTGGTTCCCGTCCTCCTCACTGCGCAACTTCGCCTGAACGATATGCTGAGAGGCGGAACATACAGCTATCGTGAGTCAACTTGGTTCGTCTCTTGATGAGGCAAGCCTTCTACATTTGGAAGGAGCACTCCACCCTGATTTTCCATCCGGGAGTAATCCAGACCTAGCCTGACCCGCCATTCCATTCCTTCTTCCTCATCCTGCCTATGAGGTACCTTCCATG